TAGTAGGGTGGTAATGCACTATGGCTTTGCATGTTCTACATGATTAAAAGGTTCTCCTGTAATGCTAAAGCAATCATTGAGGCTCTAAAAGGTTTTTCAAATTTAAGTGAATTGGAATCGCTTCTTCAACGTATTAGTAGATCTGTTGTTGTGAAGAAATTACTCCTTCTTCAAAGTTGGTATTCATTTGTAGTTGTGGTAAATATTCATTGCACTTTTTATCTTATGCTCATATTCATTCTTTATTGTTTGTCAATTTGTCAATTTGCCGAGCTGTCTCATAGCTTCCTTCGTAAGATGAAAAGCTTTATTGCCTATGGGGAAGGTTTTGTGAAAGTGTTATTAGCTAATGAGCTAGTCGTAGTTCTTAAACTATTTTAGACAGCATCATGCTACTTGCCTTTGGAATATGATTTTTTATGCTCTCTTGTGTTTATCTCTAGTCGTTTCCTTGTTGGGAGCTATGACTGGTAATCTAGATAAAAAGAAACATCAACAAGAGCCAACAGTGATGTTTGCTGGAACGACTCTTCTCAATGTTCAAGTCAGCAAAATTAAAGAACGAATAGAAAAGTTTAATTTTTTTAATGTTGTCTTACTATATTTTGGGTCGGTATATGTCATTTTCTTTTTGTTGGATGATGGCTTGAAACGTTACCGTATTGACACTTAAGTGGAACGACGTCGCTTTGCTCCAACTGACAGAATCAATCCTGAGCGTTGATGAAAAAGGGAGATCCAACGGGTGACATTTAACCCTAATGTTCCCATATAAAAGCAGAATTATTTTTGGCAATAGAGGCAACAGAGATTAGTCTTTCGTTTTTCGATTACTCTCTCTTCTTCGGTAAAACACCATTGTTAAACCTTTAGGGTTTCTACAGTTTAGGTTTAGTGTTTCCTGTAACTTGGGTTTTGAGTGACTGGTTAGGTCATTTCTGGGTGTATTGTATACACTGTTCTTAGGGATTCGAAGGGTGTAATCTCTAGGGTTTGGTTACGGGTTGAAGAAGGGGTTTTGAGTGACTTGTGTTGCTTATTGTGTAATCTGTAAACTTGACAGTTTTAGTGCAGCGAGCTCGTGTGATTCTCGAGTTCAACGTGGACGTAGCTTGCTCAATCTTAGAGCAAGTGAACCACGGTAAATCTGTTGGTATTGTGTTTGATTCTTGATCTTGATTTGTTGCTTGTGTTGGTTGATTCTTTCTTTGAGTAGTTATAACAGTGGTATCAGAGCCATCTTTTGGAAGATTAGGGTTTCGTGTTGTGAAATTAGGGTTTCGCGAAATTAGGGTTTCGTGAAATTAGGGTTTCAAAAATTAGGGCTTCTGAAATTTGGGGTTTTTTCTCGAATCTGTGCAAAGGTATATAGGCTGGAAACCAGTAACAGCCTTAAAAACTGCTTGACAGCAATTGGCGAATTCTGGTGTAACAAAGCCACGTACCTTCAAAGATTCTTTGTTGTTTTACTTTCTTTATTTCTTATTATAACTGTGCAAAGGTATATAGGCTGGAAACCAGTAACAGCCTTAAAAACTGCTTGGCAGCAATTGGCGAATTCTGGTGTAACAACGCCACGTACCTTCAAAGATTCCTTGTTGTTTTTCTTTCCTGTATTCTTTCATTATATTGTAATGAGTACCACTCGTATGGAGATCTCCCAATATGATGGGAAGATCGATTTTGGGAGTTGGAAGAAAAAGATGAAAGCACTGCTGTCCCACAACAAGGTTGCCATTGCACTGGAAGAGGACTCCGAGAAATGGCCAGAGGAGAAGTTGAAAAAGAAAGAGGAGATCAATGAGGAGGCATACAATCTGATAATCATGAACTTGTCTGACAGCGTCCTCCGGAAGGTAGATGGAATTGAATCACCGATTGAACTCTGGGGTAAACTCACTACCTTGTATGCTTTGCAATCTGCCCCCAACCTAGCTTTTCTAAAGGGGGCTCTATTCTCTTATAAAATGGATAGTGCTAAGAGTATAGAGGAAAACTTAGATGATTTTCTGAAAATGACTTTGGTTCTAAAAGGGACAGATCAAGCCTTAGGAGAAACTAGCCTAGCTATGATTCTATTGAATTCCCTGACTGAAGACTACCAAGTAGTCAAGAATGCCTTACAGTACTCTGGTACTGTACCAAACCTTGACCTAATAACAGCAGGACTTAGGGCTAGAGAACTAGAACTGAAAACTCAGAAACGGAATGGCACTAATCTGTTTGTTAAGAGTAGACCAGAACCTAGTCACACTGGGAAAGGAAATCAGAACAATCAGGGGGCTAGAAATAAGAAAAAATGGAAGGGCAGTAACAAGAATAGAGGTGAATCCAGGAAATGCTTCTTTTGTAATAAAACAGGGCATATTAAAAAGAACTGTTTTGAGTGGATTAAAAAGCAAAAGCAAGGGAATACTGAGAATAACCTAGCTACTACTAGAAACCTAGTAGAGGAGCCTGAAGTCCTTACTGTGTCAATGAATGACACTGGTGAAGAGTGGGTGCTGGACTCAGGCTGTTCCTTTCACATGAGCCCTAGGAGAGACTGGTTCCAGGACTTTGAAAGTGTTGAAAATGAAACTGTGTATATGGGAAACAATAATGCTTGCAGAGTAAAAGGGGTAGGTACTGTGACCCTAAGGGTTAACACAGGAAAAGTGGTAAGATTAACTAGGGTCAGATACATACCTGAACTTAAAAGAAACTTAATTTCCCTAGGCACCTTAGATGAATCAGGATGTTGTTACAAAGCAGAACATGGATGCTTGAACATATATAGGGGTAACAACCTTATTCTGACAGGAGAGAAAAGAAATGGCCTCTATATCCTTTGTGGAAATTGTCCCCAAAACTGTTTTAACTCTGTGGTTACCTCCACTAACTTGTCCAATACAGAAAAGTGGCACCTTAGGTTAGGCCACATGAGTCAAAGGGGCATGGACATTCTGAAGAATAAAGGGCAGTTTGGGAAGGACAAGACTACTTCCCTTGAATTCTGTGAGAATTGTGTTCTAGGGAAACAGCATAGAAATAGCTTCACCAGAGGGACACACCTAGCAACCAGTCCACTAGAATACATCCACTCTGATCTGTGGGGACCTGGAAAAGTAAAGTCTCATGGAGGAAATAATTACTTCATGTCTTTGGTGGATGACTATAGCCGCAAGGTCTGGGTATACTTGTTGAAAACAAAAGATTAGGCACTAGCCAGGTTTAAGGATTGGAAAACCCTAGTAGAAAACCAAATGGGAAAAAAGGTGAAGGTCCTCAGAACAGACAATGGGCTAGAATTCTGCAATCAAGATTTTGACAAGTTTTGTAGTGACCAAGGGGTCTTAAGACACAGAACAGTGACATATACCCCACAACAACAGAACTACAAATAGAAGTAATACAAGGATTTGTTAATAGTAATAGCTGATGGGTCGTTCAACTTATCATGTGTTCTTTCTTCTTTCTCATATTTTACTTCTTTGCTTGGCTCAATCGGAAAAGAGGTTGAATCCTAGATGTCCAAGTTTCCATTGTGGTTTCCTGGGTGATGTCGGATTCCCCTACTCAAATCGAACTCATCCGGATTGTGGGTTGCTGATTGTAGATAACTGCACTAAAGGTGTTCAGAAGATTCAGTTGGGGAAGGGTGGGCCCTGGTTTAGTGTCAGTGCCATCTCTCAGGATATTATGCTTAATCTTAAAGAAGGAGATTTAGAACAATCGAAGATCTGTAGCCCCAAATCCTTCAAAACATTTATTCTTCCCATCTCTCCTTTTCTCTCTTTTAATTTGCCCTACAATCAATCAGCGTTCCAATGCCCCCCCGGTTACAGGCTCCCCGAACATTTCGCTTCTGTTTGCAATAACTCCAAAGGCTCCGTTATCGTGTACAAAAACCCAACAGATCATTTTCCAAGTTCTCCACCTCTCTGTACACCTTTTAACTACCGAGTGAATATGACTCGGAAAAGTGTTGAATATTCTGATTTGTTTATGGGTTTTTTCTCTCTGAAAGTGAATGTAACGGATGAATGTTATGATTGTTTTTTTGCGGGAGGGCAATGTCAAACTGATAGCAAGGGAAACTTTAGATGTTTTGTGACGGGAAGAACAAACTCCAATATATCTTACACTCAAAGAACACACATCACAAATAACGGTGAAGTGCTACGATTTTGTCTTGGTTAAATACACGCCTTGCTTTCCATGTTTTACCTATTGTTTTTCTCTATCTTATTTGCAGCTTTACATAGATCTATATAACTTGCGTTAATTCTAGTTCCATAACAAACAAATTTATCATGACTTTTGTTACATTCATAATCTTGAGAAGAACTTGGATGATGATAAGTTGATCAAATCACTCCAGTGTTTATTGTTTAAACTAAAACCACTTATTTGTAACTTGTTGCAGGGGATGGGAAAATGAAATCAGGAATGAAGCTAGGCATCGGACTTGGTAAGATACCCTTTTAACCAAATATCTTTGTGGCCATCTTTTCTGCTTATTCTTTTCTTCTAGTTTTCCAGAAAGCCTGAAATCATCTAGGCAATTGATTTTAAGGGCATTCACTGTATTTAACTCAGAAGTCTAGAATTTATCTGAATCAGCTGTTGAAAACAAAACAGAGGATCCTTCTAATAACCATTAAAAATTGTCTTAACAATTTGTCATCTTTATCTTCTGATGACTCCTTTCAAAATAGTATTAAGGTCTCTATTCGTGTTAAAGACTTATCAAAAGTTGCAGCAAAAATATAGCCATCAAGTCCCTTTTCTTAGAACTATATAAGTTAGTCTTGCAAGAGATTCTTTCTGCACATATACAAATATTTGTGGCATTGACACCCTCCAAATTAACCATTCCAAATTGTCTTAACGATTTGCCATCATTGTATTCTGCTGATTCATTTCTTCAATTAATTACAGCCGTAGCAACCATTGCGACTGGTATATTGATAGTTCTGGCCTTTTGCTCTTGAAGAAAATTGTCACCACATAATGTCATGGTCGTCTTCATGAAGAAAACTAAGAATTACCAAAACATTGAGGCATTTTTAAGGAATCATGGATCACTTCCTCTTAAAAGATATAGTTATTCAGATATTAAGAAAATGACCAATTCATTTAGACACAAGCTTGGCCAAGGAGGATATGGAGGTGTTTATAAAGGTAGGCTACTTGATGGTTGCTATGTAGCGGTGAAGAATTTAATTGATTCTGAAGGTAATGGTGAAGAATTTATCAACGAGGTTGCTAGCATTAGTAGGACTTCTCATGTCAATATTGTCACTCTTTTAGGTTTTTGTTTTGAGGGTCTTACAAGAGCTCTCATCTACGAGTATATGTCCAATGGTTCTCTTGAGAAGTTCATATGTGAAAAAGATCAATCCCAAACAAATCATTCACTGAAGTGGGAAACACTATACCAGATTGCAATAGGCATAGCTCGAGGATTAGAATACTTGCACCGTGGTTGCAGCACACGAATTTTACATTTTGACATAAAACCTCATAACATTCTCTTAGATGAAGATTTTTGTCCTAAGATCTCTGATTTTGGTCTTGCCAAAATTTGCCCCAAGAGAGAGAGTATTGTATCAATGATAGGTGTACGGGAGACAATTGGTTATATTGCTCCAAAAGTATTTTCTAGAAACTTTGGAACAGTCTCTCACAAATCAGATGTTTATAGCTATGGAATGATGGTTATAGAAATGACAAGAGGAAGACAGAGTAACAATGTTGGAGTTGACAATAGTAGTGAATTATATTTTACGCAATGGGTTTACGAGCGTCTCGAAGTAGATGAAGAACTTGGACTGCAAGGCATTTCAAATGAAGAAGATAAAGAACGTGTAAGGAAGATGATTATAGTGAGCTTGTGGTGCATACAAACTAATCCTTCAGACCGGCCAATAATGAGTAGAGAAGTGGAGATGTTGGAAGGGAGCATCAATTCCTTGCAAATTCCACCCAAGCCTTTCCTATCTTCACCGAGATCAGCCCCAAGAGATTCTTCAATTAACCTACTAAGTTAAATAGTTTCGGAAATGATGTATTAATCAACATTCGTATCTTCATACTGAGAACTGTGATTTTAGATTCATTAGTACATTTTCAAATTTATCTATTATTAATACCTCTACTTTTTAACTCTGTTCTAGTAACTACTTTATTCATAGGCACTAAATGATCACTGGCTTGCTTTGCTCCTCCATTTACACCTCAACCCAAAACCGCTAAGAAAACTACATATTAGTTCATATATAAATCAGCTCTAGATCAACAAAAAACTACATTACTATGAGCATTATGTAACCTATTGAAAAGTGTCTGACAATTTAACAAATACGGTTAATGATCTCTCATATTTTATATTTATTTCCTTCACATTTATTGTAAGACCTGGGAAAGCAGTGTAGCATATAAGAATCTAGCACATTTTCAAGGTAGCATAGAATGGTTTGAACAAAAAGACATTGATGCATCTCCATATAAAAACAAAGTAAAGAATTGATGGGAAACGGGGAAAAATTGGTGGGTGTGACTCGTGTGTACACATGCATCACACACCGCCAAAATCGAAACGTGGCTCTAAATAAGAGGATAATAGAAAAGAACAAGTATTCTTGTGAAAGGTGACGTGGTGGCCCGCTTTGTGTGCTAGTTGTTGTGGTTTTGAAGGAATCATGTACGTGAGTTATACAAGGGTGCCTTTGGTTAGGATCCGTTACTCTAATAATACTATCTTATATTATTGTTCATTATCATATTTGGTTAGTAAATAATAAAAAATTTTAGTCTTAATACCATCATTTCTTATATATTCTAAGATTACTTGATAACTTTAATTTTGTTACAATTTTATCCATAACTAATAAAATATTTGGACATTATTATCCTTGTAGTTTGACCAAATTAAATCCCCAAATTGATTTTTCACCAAATCCATTATATATCTAATCTAACCAGTTAATAATATAATATAATAATAATATTAATGATATAATATTAAAAAAGAAGAGCAATTCAAGGGAAAGTTTCTTCCAAAATTCTTTTATTTCTACCAATCAAACATATTAGTTATTTATATTTGTCAATTTATTTCAATCTAACCAAACATGTTTAATATAACATTTTCAATAATCTTCAAGTTAATTTATTTTTCCTTTAATATAATATTCCGGATAATGAATAAGGAGCAACGTGATAAACAAGTTGGCCCATGCAAATGATTTAAAATACTGAACATGTGCATAGGTCTAGACGTGTCAAATAAGTTGAAGAATCCTCTCCTTTATTTCCAGTCAACTGGCGTGTTTTGCTTTTGAAGGAGAAGCGACTCTGCTTCTATATTGAGAGGAACTGTGAAGAAACGTTAAGAGATAAAGAAGTTTGGAAAAATGGCTCGTTTGTCTTGTCTTGTGTGTTTGTTGTCTTTCATCTCTTACTTCTTGGCTTGGCTCAAGAAGAAAAGAGAATCAATCCAAAAGGTCCACCTTTCTCTTGTGGTTTACTTGACGAGATCGGCTTCCCCTTCTCCAATGGAACGCATCCCAAGTGTGGCTTATGCATAGTGGATGACTATGACAAAACGTTTTAGAAGATTCAGTTGGGGAATCATGTGGGGCCATAGTTTTATGTTTCACGCTTCGTGACCAAGAATTGCCGAATCAGTTCGACAACAGCAGCTGCGGATATTAGAGGGTCTTCCGATTCCCTCTCATAAATTGTTGTAACTGCTTCTGTTTGTTTAATTTGTATTTTAAGTTACAGCTGTACACTTATCTTTAGGGATACGTTTCCAATCTGTTACAATCCTTTGTATTTATATATGCTACTTTAATGTGAAGCCGTGTGGCATATTTCCTCTCCTCTGTTGCTCTGTTTCTCTCATTGATTATATGGTATCAGAGCATTTAATTGCTGCTGCTCTCTTCTCCAGCCACTAGTACCATGACAACAACCAATAATTCTAACTCTCCACCTGTTATTCAAAACACAAATGAACTAAACACATCTCTCATCTTCATCAATATCTCTGCCCAAGCCCCACTCAAACTCACCACGACCAATTACATCTCCTGGAAACTTCAATTCCACACTGTCTTTGTCGACTATGACCTCTTAGGATATATAGATGGATCCAAACCTTGTCCACCCTCCACTATTACTCAAAACAACACCACTGTACCAAATCCTGCTCAGAATGCCTGGATTAGACAAGACCAACTGATCCTTAATGTTTTAATTGGATCTCTTTCTCCCACAATTATCCCGTTCATCGCTAGAGCCAAAACATCAGAAGAAGCTTGGTTGATCCTGGCAAACACATATGCCAAGCCATCTCGAAGGTGCATCAAGCAGGTAAAGAATCAAATTAAAAATCTAACCAAGGGGTCTCAAATTGTTACAGAGTTTCTTCAATTGGTGAAGTGTGGGGCTGATGAACTTGCTATTCTTGGGGCACCAATGGATGAAGATGACCTCACAGACAAAATTCTTGATGGTCTTGGGGATGACTATAAAGAGCTTATATGTACAGTTCAAGCCCGCGATACCATGATCAAGTTTGATGAGTTCCACGAAAAGCTTCTAAATTTTGAAGCGTCTCTTCAAGGTGCAAAATCTGAACCCTCTCATTTTCCAGCCTCAGCAAATCCTGCAAATCGTAAGACTACAAGTTGGCGTCCCTCTTTCAACTCTGGTAACACCAACAATAATTGGAGTCCATCAACACACTCTGGTAACAACAGTACAAGTTGGCGTCCCTTACCTAATACCAATAATCGCTCCCCCGCGTTTCCTAATGCTGGACAAAACTCGTCTTGCAACCAATGACCTCCTTCTTAACCTTACCTTGGTTATTGCCAGATATGTGGAATACAAAGGCACACTGCCAAGAGATGTCCCTCTTTTTGCTTGGTGCCAAATCAACCCAATACAACTCCAGTTGCACTAGTGAACAACACTACGACACCTGGCAACCTCGAGCTCATTTTGCAGCCAACACTACTCCCACCACTCCACAATGGCTACTAGACAGTGGTGCTTCTCATCATGTCACTACTGACCTGAGTAATCTATCTCTCCACAAACCTTACAATGGTTTAGATGACATTATGATTGGTGATAGATCAAGTCTTCCTATAACTCACACTGGTTCTACTTCTTTTACCACTCATAACACATCATTTAAATTAGACAATGTTTTGTGTGTCCCTAGCATGAAAAAGAATCTAATTTCCATTTCTCAATTTTGTACATCAAACAATGTCTCTGTTGAATTCTTACCATCCTCTTTTCATGTGAAAGAACTTTGCATGGGGGCAATCCTTTTGAAGGGTCACACGAAGGATGGGGTGTATGAATGGCCGGTTTCCTCTTCCCCAACATCTCCATTAGTAGCTTTTTCTAGTGTCAAAACTTCTTCATCTGAGTGGCATCATAGAATAGGTCATCCTGTATTTCCCATTTTAAAACATATTGTTTCACATTATCAGTTAGATTTGTCTTCCTCTTTGATCTCTGATTTTTTGTGTAATGCTTGTCATTGCAATAAAAGCCATAAATTACCTTTCTCTACATCTACTTTTATCTCCTCTCAACCACTTGAAATTATTTTCTCTGATGTGTGGACTTCCCCTGTTATCTCCCATGATGGTTTTAAATATTATGTCATATTTGTTGATCACTTCACTAAATACATTTGGTTTTATCCCCTTCAACAGAAATCTGAAGTTAAAGACATGTTTATCAGATTTAAAGCCATTGTGGAAACACACTTTCAAAATAAAATTCATACACTTTACTCTGATAATGGTGGTGAATACTTAGCTCGTCGACCTTTTCTTGCTACCCATGGGATCACTCACCTTACTACTCCACCACACATTCCTAAACACAATGGGTACTCTGAAAGACGTCATCATCACATTGTCGAAGCAGGTCTCACTCTCCTCTCTCATGCATCACTTCCTTCAACATTTTGGACTCATGCCGTTGCCACTACTGTTTACCTAATAAATCGTATGCCCACTCCTACACTAAATCTATCATCTCCCTATGAAAACATTTTTGGCTCGTCCCCAAACTACTCTAAACTTAGGATTTTCGGTTGTTTGTGCTACCCATGGTTACGTTCTTATTCATCTCACAAACTTGAGTCTCGTTCCAAGCCTTGTAATTTTTCTAGGCTATTCTCTTACTCAAAGTGCTTATCTATGCTATCATCCTCCCACATCTAGAACGTATGTCACTCATCATGTCAAATTTGTTGAGTTCGTCTTCCCCTCTCTTACTGTATAAATGCAATCTATCACTCTATAACCCAACACCGTCTCCATATGGATTCCTCCCATCATCACAGTTCCAACCAACCAGGCTTCCACCGGGACATTCAACACATCATCTACAGTTCAACCTCAAGGACATCCCTCATGTGATGCTTCGTTCCCTACTACCAGCACAACCCCACACATACCACATGAGTCTCCTATCCAACCTACCATCTCTATGCCTTCACCTGAAATCCAACCAACCAACTCGATGCTTTCACCTAGAAACTTAATCTCTCCACACAACTCTCTCACCCTTGTGATGTCGAACCAACCATTGTGACACAAGCCCTCAAAGATCCAAAATGGCGTTAGGCCATGTCTGAAGAATATGATGCTCTTGTTCGAAATGGGATATGGGAGCTTGTCCCATCAGATTCTAGTCACAATATAGTTGGATGTAAGTGGATTTTTCGAACTAAATGTTACTATGATGGTTCTATTGATAGGCATAAAGCACGCTTGATTGTGAAAGGCTTTCATCAACGACCAGGAATTGACTATCATGACACTTTTAGTCTTATGGTGAAGCCTACTACAGTCCGTTTAGTTCTTAGCCTTGCTGTGAGTCGTGGTTGGTCTCTATGACAACTGGATGTAAACAATGCCTTTTTGCAAGGTCATCTCTCTAACGATGTTTATATATCCCAACCTCTAGGTTTTGTTGATTTAGATAATCCAACTCATGTTTACAAGCTTCG